TAAGTGGGAGAACTTGCACAATTGGTGGCTGACTAAATACTTTTTTGCCTCACTGTATTTGAATGCTTCCCACCTCTAAGTGGCTGCGAGATGTGCAACTGATTCTCAGCAAACGGGGCTGGGAGGTGGGGGGGTAATCCAGGGGGGCCCTAAAGAAGTGGATCAGCAGCCCTGGCGCTCTGGTGAAAGAACAGTCACTTGATGGATCCAGAGTCTCCCACAGCATTGGCCTCGGATCAAAAGGCGCTGCCTTCGGCGTGCTCTCCCCCTGACCCGCAGACAATCCTGACGCCACTTTTTTCCACCAAGCAGCGCATCAGCCCTATTTGCCCTCCCCTCCCCTGCCCATGCCGTGCCCTTCCTGATGCTGAGAGCAGAGGAGCCCTGCTGGGGCAAAGCTCCCTTCTGCTGAGATTATCCTGGTATCCCTACCCAGGACATGCCCAGAATCACATGGCAAGGCTGCAAGGGGACGTCCCATACTTGAGGCTCCCATGCCGAGGGCTCTGAGCACCCCTGCATTGCAACATTAAATGCGGAACGCCTTAACTTCACTCCACTCCACTCCAGCAGGCTGGCCAGCACCATTAAAAGCCAGGGCCGGGAAGACCAAACCCACCTTCTCCAAAATCCTAAAGCAACGTTGTGATGCAGTGAGATGAGATTCCCCAAATCAACTGGGAACCTTATTCTTGGACCCTGTGTGTTGCTCTGAAGCCGCTCTTCGTGCAGAAAGAGAGTGGCAAAAGGAACACAGATTGGATCTCTGGCTTCCTCCAGCGCACCCCAGGACTTGCAAGAAGCTAATTCGCAGAACTGCATGAGCCTAGAGCTTAGTTCTTAAGCTGTTTGACTCAACTACTCTTTTTCCTGGTCCTGAATAATGTTGCTCCCCCCGCAAAAAAACCCAGGCTCTGTTGTTTTACACAAGCATCTCGCCAGCCCCAATCTGGATCCTCAACTCACAAAAAAGCAATTACAAATTGCTTCATTACCCCCAGGAGATGCCCAAATCCCCCCCCCCCCCATTTAAGAACCACTGGGCCAGAGCCACCTAGGCGGTCTTTTATCACTTCACTCAGCAGCCAACTCAGCAGCAGAAACTGGCAGCGGCCAAGAAGGCAGGCAACCCACCGAAACAGAAGGAAATGGCGCTGTTTGGGCAGCCTGGAGGTGGTGGGCTGGGACAGGGGAGAAAGACGTTCTTCCCATTCCCTTCCTTCCGAATCCAAGCCCCTCCAGCTGCTAGTACTATGGGGAGGGAGACACGCAAGCCTATCCTCCACTTCTGCTGATCCCCCGTTCTAGCAATGTGTTCGCGGGGCTCTCCGCAGCTACTCATGGCACAGGACGTGCTCTTTCTGTCTCAGTGGTGACTTGCTGGGATGGGGAGGGTGGAAAGAGAATCTAGCAAGGTGGGTTGTAGGGAAATTCTGGCCACCGCATGACACAATCTACTTGGGTAGACCAGGGGCTGCTCTGGGCCTCCACCCTCCTCTAACAGAATTTGGCAAGAGTGGAAAACAGCACGAGGACAGGAGCCCAGCACGAGGGCTGCGCTCCTTGGAACAAGGGCCAGCTTCACTCCTGTCCGTACCTTCTGCTCCAGGAGAGCCCTCCGCAGGGACACCCGCTGCTCCAGTTCACGCAGCTCCCGATCATGCTGGGCCTCCGCCTGCATCTTGATTTTGCTCTGGTAGGCGTTCAGCAGCTCAAGCTCCTGCTGCAGCTGCATCTTTAAGACCTGGCACTCTGCTTCCTGGGCCTCATCCAAGCGCAGCTGAAATACAAGGCAATCGGTCAGCGGGGCAGGGCTGCCACTGAGGCACTGCCGCCTGTTAAGAAGGTCCAGCGAGCAGGCCGGCCGGCCAGCCGCATGGCCTACCACTTGTTCCGTGGGGGACCGTCCTTCCCTGGGCTCGGCTGGACTTTCTCAGCAAAGCCACAACCACCATTTTAGCTTTCTGTGGAGCAGCCTCTGGAGCTGGCCAAGGCGGCCGACCTCTGATCTTCTGGCAGCTCAAACTTGCAGGAAACAGTTCCTGGAAAGTCCCCCCTTGTAAACAAGAGCAGCGACAGTGGCAGAACACAAGGGGTGGCTCACCGCTTGCGTGGAGAGCATCTCGTTGATGCTGTGGTCATACTGCTCGGCCAGAATGGCCAACTTGCGGGTCTGCTCCTCCTTCAGCCGCTTCAGGACTGCCTTGTGCTCGCTCTTTGGCGTGGTCTCCAGCAGGTGGTTGCGAAGCGCCTTGTACTGCCGGGTCTGGATCTTGCAGGTGTCCTGGAACTGCTTCTTGATCTGGAGCTCCTTGGACTAGGAGGGAAGGCAGACAAAGAGACAGGCTGCAGACAGGTCGGGCACACAGGAGGCTCAAGCTGCCATCCAGCTGCCCAGCCTCCATCATGCGAGCCTTCCCTGCCCCAAGGCAGGAGGTCCCACCAGTTTGCCAGCAGGATGAGACCCTCTTTAGATGCCCTCAGTAAGCCTCTGGCATCCATGGCAATCCTGCCTAGTGCACAGAAAAATGATGCCCTCCAACAGTGACAAGCTCACTGGGGAACCCTTATCAGATCCTGCATGCTTGCACTGATAGAGTACTGGTTTCATCAAAGACATTTCAGGTCTTATCCCCACCTGGGTGCAGAAAGAGATTCCTGGCAAGAGAGGGTCAAAGAGTCACGCTTACAAATTCCCCATTGCTGGCTGCTGGTTCCAAGGCAGGGCCAGCTCTGCCCTCCCAGGGCACCCCATTATGAAGTACGATGCCCTATGTGCTGGGCCCAGCATCCAATACTGGCCTTGGAAATCAGGGAGGAAGAGGAAGAGGTGGCGGCGGTGGCGGCAGCGGGACCAGGTTCCAGAGAACAGGTGGGAGGGAGGGGCTGCCCCTTCCTCTCTGCTCTCCCACCTGGCTAGCTAAACTGGTGCTATGCAAAGACATCCGGTTTGCATGGTTCATATAGATCTTTGGTCAGCAGAAGATTCCGGTTGCCCAGAGTAGGTGGGCCCCTGCCACTAGCTGATTCTTCCTCCTTTTGCTCAAGGAACAGTGGAAGAGGCAGATCGGCCGCCCAAGAAGGTGCCCGGGGCACCTGGGGAAGACTGGAGGATGGGCCTCTCTTAGCAGGTTGCTGGACTGGCCGGTGGGAAGTGCCTCGTTCATCAGGATTGGCCAGGAAAGGGGTAGCCCCCAAAGACTTTCCCACCAGGCCAGGAACAGGGCCCGAGCTGCCGCAGCCTCTCAGCACACCCCAGCTCCGCTAAGGGGAAGAGGCACCCTCCCACCACGAAGGGTTTGACTGCAGCAAAACTTCATTCACTGGCTGGAGCCCCTGTCTGAAGCGGGCCAGCCCCCCAGCTCCTAAGGGCTGCCCCTTGTTCGGCAGCAAGAGCTTCCTTGGTGCGATGCTTTCAGAAGAAGCACAGTGCGCTGTCCCCATCTGAGCACAGCTCAGCGGCGAAAGGAAAGTCTCTCTGAAGTCCTGGGCCTACAAGCAGGCGGGACTTTTTGGGAGGAGCCCCTTTGGCTGGGTCCACAGGCCCCTTTATGCCTCTGTGTGTCCTGCCAACACAGTGTTTATGTGGGCTGTGGTACTGGGTGGGGTTCAAATGAGTTCCTTGTTTGCTAGGTCCAACAATTTGGTCATGCCATCAACCCACAGAATCTATAACCACCTCCTCCAAGGTGCAAACTCTGCCTGGTGTGGGCGTGGGAGCCAACCCTCTGCCCCCAATTTCTTTCCTTGGCAATCAGACACCATGTTGGGCCAGACTTGGGTAACACTCAAGAAGCAGCACTGCAGATCTGCTCCTCTCCCTTCCAAGGTCCAGACCGAAGTCTGCCGTGTTCTCCACCACGGCAGGCTTCCTTTCAACAGTGTGTGGGGAGAACTATGACCACTGAAGATTACTTGGGTCAACCTGGCATGCAGGAGCCCTGGCCAGCCTCCCCTCCTCGTGGTGTCATCAGACAGGCCAGCCAGCTCTGGGGCCCAGGAGAACAACACCAGCACTAAAAACCTACAGCTGTGCACAGACCACACGGCTTGGAGGGCTGCTGGGAGAAGAATCCATCTGGTCTCAGACAGACTCAGAGCTCAAATTGCTAATTCTGAAATCCGAATCTCATGGACAGCTGTAATGGTTTCTCCTGTTTGTCGTAGCTGGATGATGTTTTCAGGAATCATAGCCCTGATTGTGGAAGGGGGATATTCTCTCACTTTTTGAGGGACAGTTTGTACAAAAATGGTATGCACCACAGAGTTGGCCCTAGGCGAAGGACTGCAAAATTTTGGAAAGATGGGTGCAGAGCGCTAGGGAATTAGGATGAGTGAAAACAGGTGACATCTTTGGGGTCTTATGTTCCATTGGCAAAGCCAAGGAAAATGCTGCAGGGTGGGGTACCGGATGAGGCCCAAAGGCTTTGGCATCTCTTATCTTGCAAGTAGCCAGGGAAAGCTGGCCCTCCCTGCCCCACAGACCGCACCTCTTTTGATGTTTCTGCTGCTTCTGGGAGGAAAACTGAGCAAAGTGCCACCGATGCTGGCAAAAGCTCTCCGTTCACTGACAGCCCCAAAAGGCAGAGGTGCCGCCTTCTTCTCAGCTCCCGTGGGGGGCTTCTCAGCACGGCGGAAGGCACTCATCCATCTGCGCGTCTTTCTTCGGCCAAGCGCCTGGCCTGGGCCTCACGGCAGAGGCACTCGCTTCTTACCTCCCTTGCCGCCCGGAGCGCCCGTCCCCAGAAAGGTACCTTGAGGCTCTTGGGCTGCTGCCGGACTTCCATGACGTGCTTTCGCCGCAGCTCCCTCTCCCGGCGCTTGTTGTACTCCAGCTGGTTGGTGAGCTCGGTCTGATGCTGCAGCCGAATCAGTTCGCAGCGCATCTTCTGGATGGTGCTCAGGTGCCGGAACTCCAGCTCCTGCATGGACTCGTGCTGGCGCAGCAGCATGGCGTGCTCCAGGTCTTTCTGGGTCTGCCTCTTGTTCAGCTCCTGGGTTCAAGAATAGGGCTTTGAGGAGAGGTCCCTCAGCGCGGGAGGGGAGGGGAGGGGAGGGAAGGGCAACCGCTGAGCCCAGAAATCTGCCTGGCTGGCTCAGACAGAACCAGGGCACCACCGTTGGTCAAGACAGCCAACCAGGGGCCAACGGACTCGCCTTCTCCCACCCGCCTCCCCTACAGATAGACTACAGACAGTATGCTCTGCTTGCTGTTATGGGTAACTGAGGAGTCTGGTCAGCTAGAAAAGCCACGGCTGCATCCCCAGTTACTACATGGGACTGCCCTTGAAGATTATCTGGAAACTACAACCGGCCCAGAATGCAGTGGTGAGCGCGGTTTTAGGCGCCCCACAGTTTGCCCTGCTACTGTGCGAGCTGCACTGACTTCCAGTTTCTTTCCTGGCACAGTTCAAGGTGCCAGTAATCGCCTTTAAGGCCCTAAATAGCACGGGCCAGGTTACTTGTGGGGCCGCCTCGCTCTGAGGGTATCTGCCCATCCCACCAGGACAGACAGGGCGGATACACCCCAGGCCCCTTCTCTTAAAGGCTGCCATCTAGTGGGACCCAGCAGGAACATCCTTCCCCCAGAGACCTGGCAGGCCTCCGCCCCCCGGCCTTCCAGAAGGCCTTGAGGAACTGGCTCTTCCCACGAGCCTGGGGGAGGACGAGGCCGGGGCCCAGCAAGATGGCATGCGGATGTGTGAGAGAGTGTTGCCCCGGGTCGCCGTGGGTTTTTATTGGGATTGTTTGGGCTTTTTACTGTTTTTATTGACTTGTGAATCACCCGGGATTGGGGTTACAAAATGGGTGGCTATGTAAGTCTTTTAAATAAATAAATGAAATACATTTTCCTTCCTTTTCTGTTCAGAATCCACTTCTGACAGGCCGAGGGAAAATATCCCCTACAATCTAGGCCCTTGCTAGGTTTACAGTGTGCCTTTTTTTAACCTTTGCTTTCGAAACGAAAATGGCGCACGTGTTTTTATTTTTTCCTTGGGAGAAGATACAACAGGGCTAGTTCCTTGTGTCCCTTTTGATTCTTCCCGAGCAATCTGAGAGATGTTCAGAGAGTCAGGAGGAGGCAGGCCTGTGACTTTCTACGAAGGCTACAAAACGGCCCCCGCTCAGTAGAGCCGGACTCCGCCGAAGCCTTTTAATCCCATTCTCAAAGAACCATCCTGATGTCCATGCTGGGGACTTCAGGCCCTTTAAGGCTGCGGGCGCTGAGTTTACAGCGGGGCTCGCTCAGACCTCAGAAAGGTCACATCTGTTCTAGGCAGCCCAACCCAGAATATCAGCTGAGCAGACGGGCACCCCGTCTTCTTCAATGGCAGCTCCCCGGTGGTGCCAGGCTCCAGCCACTACGCCTGGAGGATGCTACCAAGGGAAAGGCTCCTGCAGGTGATCAAGCAGGCACTATTCTGCTTTACAAAACAGGGCAGTGCAGAGAGCAAGAACAACTCCTTCTTGATCAAACGCTCCCTGGGACCTCTTCTGCTCCCCGGGCCTCAACGCACCTCCCGGACAAGATCCTGCTCCAAATTATGACGCGCGAGCAGCATCCTCCTCTTGAAGCGCCGGCACTCCAGCTCCAGGTACTGCCTCTGGCGCCGGAGCAGGTTGGCCTCTTCCTCCGCCTGGAAGTGCTGGATGTTCTCCTTCTGCTTGGACAGCCACTCCTGCTTCTCCTTCTTGGGAGTGCTCTGGTTCTCGTTCAGTTCCTGGAAGCAAGAATGGGGCCACCATTGTCACGGGAAAAAGCAAAGCGGCAACTGCTTGGTTCCAGGGGCAGAAGGAAAGGAAGACGCTCTCTGAACGTTGCAAGGGGCTCATAAATACACAAGCCACCCCAGCAAGACACCTCTTCTTGTGCACGTTAAATGGGAAGAACTAGTTCTGCCAAGCAGAGGAGGCCCAGAGGCTGGGCCTTCCCAGGGGAAGGCCTGCTTGCCGTTCCTCGGTTAAGCAAGGCCTGCACAGTCCTGTTTCTGCCAATTCTTTGCTAGGCTAGACCCAACACTATAGAAGCTGGCAGCGTTACTCCATCCAAAGAGAAATATGGAATTTTAGAGGGTTTTTTATGCAGGAGCTGTGCACGAGAACGGCCCTTAGGCAAGACAAAAGCCACCACTTACTAGCTCCAACACCTGAGTTATAAAACGCGTTTCCAAACACCCTCTAAGAAAGGCGCGCTTGCTAGGAACCCGCCAAGAGAAGAGCATTCTCTTTTTACCAAACAAGAGGCTCAACTAGGCTGCTAATGAGGCGTTAGAACTAGGTGTTACTAGTCATCTACTGGTTATAACTAGGTGTTCTGCTCACTGACACTGGTGTCAGCCCTTCGAGGGAGTCCAGACAGGAAACCAAACCCATGACGTCTAAACGTCTAAGCTGCGGCTCCTCCTCCTGCCCCCGACATCATTCTCACAGCCCGCTACATCGGGTTACAAGCTGGCTTCTGGGTGCAGTTCAAGACTCCGGTTATCACCCTGACCGCCTTTCATGGCATGGGGCCTGGCTACCAGGGGGACCTCTTAGCTCCACTTGCTTTTGCCTGCCTGGTGAGATCAGGCAGGGTGGGGGCCCTCCAGGTCCTGTCTATCAAAGAACGTCCCCTTGCAGGACCCAGAAGGTGCCCCTACGCGGCTGCAGCCCCTGCCCTCTGGATGAGATTCTCCTGGAGATTTGCGTGGCTCCGATCCTTACGAGGTTCCGTAAATTACTCAAAACCTGGTTGTTCTCTCAGGCCTTGAGATAAGGCAGCCCGGTGCCCCTCAGAGTTAGTTTAGTTTGGCTTTGTTTAACTTAAGGCCATGCGTTTGCCCTTCTGGTCAGCCACATTCTTCTTTTTTATGTATACTGTTTTTTTTGTAACCTCCTGAGAGTTGAAATTCAGAGGAATGAATGAACCAACGGATCAACCCTCCCTCCCCCTCTAGTTACCTCTTTGAGCTGCTCTTTGCGGAGTTTATATTCTCTTTTCTGGGATTCCAAAAAGCTGCTGAGTTCCTTTTTCTGCTGGGTCTGGATGTGCTGCTGAAACTTCTTCTCTTCGTTGGCCATCACTTTCGCCTGCCCCACACCAGGAGAGAAGAGCGAGAGGCGGCCTCTTTGTTGGCGACTGACCATTTTGGTACCACAGGCCTTGCGTGGCTTCTACAGACCAGCCCCCAGCCCCACCCCAACCCCCAGCTGCCTTCCTGTTGCACAGGCTCCCTCCTGACAGCCAAGACCGCGCCCGGTTTTAGCACCAGAGGCTGTGCTCTGCCCAGGAAGAGCACGCTTCCCGCCAATCAGCCCTTGCTCTGGCGCAATCGCCTCGGAAGCAGGCCCTCACCTCCTTCTCCATGGCCGCCTGGTGCTTCTTGACGAGCTTCTCCATCTCCGCAGCAAAGCTGTTGCGCTGGGTTTCGAGGTCCTTGTCCAGCCGCAGGCGATGGTCGTCCATCTCAGCCTTCAGCTTGTTCTCCAGGGCCATCAGCTGCTTCTGGTGCTGTCGCCGCATGCGCTTGTAGCCGGACATCTGTTCCCGCAGCTCGGAGTCCTGCTCGTGCTCCTGCATTTGCCTTGTCACCTGCGCAGACCGAGAAGCCCGGGGGCCACGTTGGCTCCTCAGCACCTCTGCACAAAAGCTAGGCTAGTGGAGGAAATGGCACCTGGGGGTATCGGGGACTCCTAAGGCAAGGAAAAGGAGCCTCTTTTTCTTACACAACGGTCCAGATGCCCCAAGAGAACCCTGAAAAATCAGAGCCTCGCCAGAACCATCAAATCTGACATGGTGGAGAAAGGAAGCCCCTTTCCAAGCTGAGCTTGACTCTTGGTGATCCGTGGAATTTGGCAGCGATACAGAAGGAGTTTGCTGCCAGTGTCCCCCCCGAAGTTGCTTTGCTCCCCCGGTCTTGCCCACAGCCCTCGTATTCCTTGGCAATCTCCCATCCGAGTATTAACCAGGTGTGACCCTGCTTAGCTTCCAAACCCAGGCAAGGGCGGCCAGGGGCCAGCAGGAGCCCCCCTGCTCATTACAGCCGAGTTTTAATTTTAAAAACACGTTTAATTTTAGGGAGCCATTCACTCTGATTAGGACAAGAAGCTGGCTATCCTGAGCTGAGGGTTTCTCTTTCGAGCCTGGAGTGGCCATGGAGGTCCTGGCCAGTCGCAGCTCCCCACAAAGCAGCCTGGATCCTTGGGATGCTGTTTATCATCCCAGTGGGATCTTTTAGGAGTCTGAGGTCATTGCTGGAAAGAGACAGTAGAAGCCGGTTCTCTACTCTCCCCTCTTTTTAAAAAAAGCTAAGTGAGGGGGTTGTCTGAAGGGCAGGCTGGCGCATGATCATCACTCTGGCCAAGGAGAGAGGCCATGGCCACTTACCAGCGACGCTGTGCGGATGGTAGCAAAGTGCTCTCGGTTGCGATAATGGGACCTGTGGCGCGACCCTTGAGGTGGAGACTGCGGCTCCGATCCTCGCAGCCGAGCATCTGAATCCTCTCCGTAGTTTTCTTCCTCCTTGGGACCAGAGAAAATAGCGAAGAAACTGAGGGCCATTTGGGTGGCGCTTGGGAAAATCAAACGCAGGCCCCAGCAAGAGGGATTTACAGAGACCACAGCAGGGAGGAAAACTGCTCCTTCAGCCATACCCGAGACACAGAGGCGGTGTTCCCATCGCTCTGCTAACTGAATTACTAACCAAGGTTAAAACTAACTCAGATCAGTATGTTGTGAAAATGCAGTTGTTGGGTTTCTGACTGACTGGGTTAAGCATGTTATGTAAATCCAGAGTACGGGAAGAGGTTCTGAAGCACTCAAAAGATAATTCTCACATACCTGCTAAACACCTGTAGCCTGATTTCCATAACCGCTATTACAATACGCCGATGTCTCTACTGGTTTAATTTACAGAAGTTTGAGTGCAGGTCAACATATGGGTATTTATTCGTCTTTATGACTGGTCTTTTATGACAGTAATATATTTATCTATCAAGTCCTGACACCTGTGTTCTCTCTGCCCTCCTTCAAAACTAGCTCATTTTAACGGGATATTCTTTCCTTCCTTCATTTGAATTTCCTTCAGGAAGCAACCAAGGACAAGGTGCCACTGAACACATGGCTGAAGCCATTCAGAGCATCATCCAGCGCTCCTCCTCCCACTTGCTGTGAGAAAGGGGTCTTCTACTCTGGCGCCTGTTTGCCACCCTTTACTACACCAAGTGGAGGCGGCTCGACTACCACGCAAAGAGAAGTTCAGGGGGCAAGTATAAGAGGCCAGTGAAGAGGCAAGCCAGAAGTCAGGAAGACCTGATGAAGGGACACAACACACAAGGAAACATAGATTTCCTGAAAAACACCTCAGCCAAAGCAGCAGAGGCAGCTATGGGCCAGGGGAAAAAATGGCCCTCTTCCCTGGCACTTGGGGTGACATTCTGCCACAACTCTGCCTTAGTGACGATTGACTCCGCAACCTTCAAGAAGGCAGTGGCCAGCGCCTGCCTCCATGCTGTCATTCTCAAAGACCAATCTTTCAGCTGGCCTCCTGAAACATACTGTACGTTTCTGGTTGAAGCCAAACAAAGCCATTGTATGATGCCATGACACGTGTGATGTTGCTTGCTGCTGCCCCCTCTTGCAGATTCCCGAGGCTCCCGCTGAGCATCTCAGCCTCCTACACAAATTACCGGCTTCAGGTGGATGACGGAACTGTTGGACATCACCGTGTGGTCTCCCTCCATCATATCCAGCTCGCTTTTGTCATCCGAGGCATCTGGAAGACTATTAACACTACTGCTTTGGCTACTGGCACTAATGGACATGCTGGGAATGGACTGGTTGCTCCCGACACTGTTCACTGTTCCTGTCCTGCCCACGCTGGGGTCTTGCTCCTGGGGAGAGAGGGAAAGGGTTGAGAGCAGAGTTCAAGCTGCAAATGCAAGAGGGGCAGCCACAGAAAGGCTCCTAATTTTATAGACAATAAAATAGGTAGTAAATAAGCGAATAGAAACATCAGCTTTCCCAAGCCCTGTGGCAACTCTTAGGCCTCGTCCAGTCATTGAGTGGACAAAGGTAGGTCAGAACTTTTGCAGAAGGATGACATGGCTCAGCTCTGGTAGATATTTGCCAGTTTCACAAAGTGATTCCTACGGTTTACCAGGTAGGCCTGTCTATAGGTAAGAATGTAACACAGAGGCTTCAGTTCACCTGGTTGAGCTCAAGCTTACTGTCTGACTTCAGTATAGATAATCTGAGTTCTACCTTACTGTTGCTGAAATATAAAGCTCGTGATTATTCTTTCAAAGCATGAACGGTGTATTTGCCAGAAAATGTGACTCTTAAATATGCAGTCTAAGGCTACCTTGCCATTTCAGCAATGGGTTTACTTTCTTTTACCTGCCCCAAAACCTGTGAGACTTCAGGGGATTGTACAAAAAGGGGAAACCGCTGGGCCACCACCCAAGAGGACAGGATGGCAACCAATGCCTGAAAAGCTGTCCTCGATGAAAGAGCCTGAGCAGCCCTTGTTATAACAGGAGAGGACATGTCCCTATCTGCAGCAGCCATGGCGGGAGGCAAGGATGTGGTGTGGTGTTGTTTTTGTTGTGTTTGTAATTGTGGTTTTACTACTTTTATGGAAGGAAGCCACCTAGCATTGTTACGAGGAGGTGGCGTACATAAGGTTGATAAATAAATCAACTAACCCTTGTCCAAAAGCAAACAGCCGTTCTGTGGGCACAGGGGGGCTGGCTCCATGCAACTGGAGGCACTCAACAGATGCACGGGAGGCATCTGCTGATCGGCAGGGGCCAGATGTTGCCAGCCACTACCTCTGTGACTCCCAGCCCACCCTCCTCCATCTTCACCTCTTCCTCCTCCTGGGCTTCCACCGCTGGTCCGTTGTGAGCCTCCTGGAAGAGGAGCTTCTTCATTTTGCGATACTGAAGATTGTCCAGTTCTCTAACGGCATCCTTGGTTCTCTGGATCAGGTCTATCAACACGGTTTCAGGGCGGTCTCGGAGGACAAAGACGTGCTGCGGCACAACCCACAAGGAAAGCCATCAGGGCCCCATCTCCCCAGGACCACACCTGTGCAGGAAGCCCCACCGAGATCCCAGGCCTGGAACCCTGAGATGATGTGGGAAGCCCTGGTCTCTCTCAGGAGGAGCAGGAAGGGAATTCCTCCAGGAAGAAAATAAGGCAAGAAAGCACCACGCAGACCCCTCCAGCAGTGCTGTGCCTGGGCTGCAAGGGCTACGACTAGGGGCATTACGGATGGCTGGGCACGTATTAATTTAAGGGGGCATTCTCCACACACCGAAGGGCCGGGGTCAGGCCTTGGCCAATTACATGAAAAATGGATCCCAGGAGTAGACCTTTCTTTGTCTGAGGTCTGGAGAGATCCTGCCTGTAAAAGGAGGCAGGTGCAGAGATCTTCTTCAAAATTAGAAAACTGCACTTTTAAAAAAAAAATTAAAAAGCCTCTTAACTGAAAGAACTTACAGTCATTTTAAATCCACAGAACAGAAGAAAAAGGGAGGGGAGAAAACAGGGGAGGTTGGAATAAGCGCTAGACAGGCCCGGCAGTGTCGGACAATGTCCACTCTTGCCCGACCCAGCATCCCCTGATGAACAGGACTTCCCATCACCCAGCAGCACAGAAGAATCTGTTAGGGTGCGGAACTGCAGGAAACTGAGGTTCACCAAAGGTGCAGCCAGTGCGGGAGACCCACAAAAAGTCTGAAAGGCTCAAGGGCTGACCCTCAGCTCCAGAGGTGGGCTTGGCCTTGGTAGAGAATGATGGGTGAGAGACGTAAAAGCCAGAATTAGAGAGAAACCAACAATATCTGCTTCTAAGGAGATGAACCCTCAACACTGGACTCACCTTCAGGAGCTCCTCTGACGTAGGTCTGTCTTGGGGGATTTTCTGGAGACAAGAATCTACAAAGTTTCGGAAATAATCAGACCTGCAAGGGAATGGGGGGAAAGTCAACTGAAGTGAGGCTTTGGCCAAAAACTTCATTTCCCTCCAGAGATTTCTCCAGCTTTGCAATGGGAGGATGCTAATACAATACAGCATGTATAATGGAGGCTTTCCGTCCCAGTCAGAACCCCGGGGAAGGTCAGAGCAGTAGAGATTATGCTCAGAAGCCACAAGGGCAGTGAGAGGTAAGTCAGTCTGATATACAGCAGCTGCTTCCCCAAATGGTGCACAGCTAGATCAAAGCCCAGCTCAGTTCACAACTTCCTCAGCTCCCACCCTTCAAGACCTGCCACCAACTCACCACTCGCTGGACTGGAGGACGGGGGATTCATTCTGCGCTATGTGATATAAGGCACTCATGGCATTCATGTTAAACAACGGAGGCTTCCGTTCCGCTGGGCAGAAAGAGAAAAGTGTTTGCTTTAGACCTTGGTGCAGACAGTTGTGGTGCAGTCTTCGTCACTAGCCCCCATTGTCCCACTCCTGTCCCTAAAGCAGAAAGACCCACACACATGACCACTTCTGCCGCCAAATCTACCAAGGGGGACCCATTTACCCTTTGCAGAAAACCTCCCCGCCTTAAAAGGGGCTGCTGCGCTAAACAGTTCTGTGGACCGTGATGACTTAAAGGGCGCAGGTGGGACAACTGCTGGCTGGGGGCGGGGAATGTCTCATATCCAACAGTGACCCACTAAGGAGCTCTGGAATATTCACAAACATAAAGCTGAGAATTCCTCCTCTTCCTCCGTCCCCAACACGTGGGACTACAAAGAGAGATCCAAATCGTGCTGTACGTGGAGGCTCCATTCTATAACGGTGCCAACGGGAGCCAATTATTAGGGCTGTCCTGAACATTAACCAGTGGAGTTTCTTCCTGGACACGACACAGCAGCTTTGCAGGGCTTCCCCTCCCTGAGATCCAGTCCATGAACTGGAGCAAATGCAGCTCAGCAAGTTTGAATCTGACAGGGGAACTACCAGGAGCTTCACCTAAGATGGAAGCCTAACTTTTAAATAAGTAAAACTGGTTCAGACAGAAAAGGAGCAAGGAGAACAGAAGCCTCTGCTGGGAGCACCGAGTAAGGCCTACGGAGCTTACCTAGTTCAATGCATGTTATCCCAAGAGACCACACGTCAACTTTACCATCGTACTGCCCTTCATCCATGGCTAGAATCACTTCTGGGGCCATCCTAGGAAGCAAAATGAGGACCAGCTAGTTTCTATGAGCAAGATGAGGGGCCTGCAGCCAAGAGCTAGGATGGGGGCTCGATGATGTTCACGTGCAGGGCAGAAGGCTTCGGGGCTGGCAGAGCAGGAAGTCCACACATGTGAGGGGGCCAAGAATGCATACAGCAGGCCTCCTGCTGACTTTCTCCTGTCTGAGTCTCCTTCCTTAGTACTGCTTCAAGCCACTTCGGAACAAGCCACTTCAGGACTGGTGAGGAAAATGCCAGCGCATTGTCCTTTCACTTGCATGCGCTTGTCCCGAGCTCATCTTCTCTGGCTCTTCTGGGACACAGTAAGGGGACAGCATGTGGGCAAGGGGGAATACAGGACTAGCCCAGAATCTTCCCTAGACAGCCAGGAGGCTCAACGTTAGTTACGTGATGCTAACATTCTCTCCTTTCCACCCCCTTGTAAGTGCAGAAATCCACACAGATGATCAACCGCCAAACATAATTCAGTCAGTCTGGAGCTATAACTCGAGAGGAACCCCTTTCTTACCAGTATGGCGTCCCCACAAATGAATTGGCCGGCGACGCAATGGAAGCAGATCCAAAATCAGCAAGCTTCACCTGGCCCGGTTCTGTCAGTAGAATGTTTCCTGCCTTGATGTCCCTGGGAGGAAAAGGAAGGGAGCCACAGGTTTCTCCACAGGCAAAAAAAGAGAATACTTGTGCCAAAACAGTCCTGCCCTGCAGTGATGCCAACACTTCTAAGGGACTGAACCGCCTGGGGGTGGAAAAGAGCTTCTCTGCATTGAGAGGACCAGGGGCCAACCCTGCTTTCATGCCACTCTGGCAAAAGGAGGCCACCAAGCAGCAAGGTGGTGGCATCGTGGCAACCCTTCCGTGAGGCCACAGGATCGGGCCGACAGAACAGCTCTGTTTACTTTTTAAAGATACTAAAATTACTCCCTTCTGGTTGTTTAGAGTTCAAACCTTAGCAGAAGTGCATTCCAAAATGGCTCCAACCCCTGTAGCTTAAAATAGCCGTTTCACATTTGGAACCATATCCAGGAGGGGTGACATAGTATTGGCACCCTTGGAAAAGACTATAGCAGCTGTTCTCATTTGAAACCGGGCATTTTGTAGTTGAAATATTTTGAATTTAAAAAAAAATAGCCACTGCTATACAACAGCTTTTACAGTGAACACTGCATGCCACTAATTAACTTGCACTCTAACGGGTGCTTTTCTAAAAACTCAACTTCGTTTCATCAAGTGATTTCTGAAAATCACAGCACTTTTTTGCATCCCCATAATCCGTGATGGTGCTACATTCTGTCTTTCCTTTGTAAGATATAATTTATTTATATCTGGGCGTGCCTCTCTCTGACTCTCTCTCTCTCTCTGCTGGCCCTGCTGGGCCAGTTCAACCTTACAAGCTCTGTTCTTTATGACACAGAAACACAGAACTCACGACAAAGAGGCAGAAACCGCTGGTTCAGAAGGTCAACAGATACTACGAGCAGCCAATCCAGGCAGCTGCGGATGCAACTGGAGATACACAGGGAAGGACTCACCGATGGATCAGGTTGTGGGAATGCAAATATGCCAACCCTTGGAGAGCACCGTGGGTAATTGCAGCAATTTCCACCTCTTGCAATGGCTTTTTATGAACTTGAGGAAAGAGAGGCATAATTAGCAGAGCAGGCATGGCAGACAAACCAAGCACAATCTCTGTGACAGAGCTGACAGCCAGAGAGAAGGCGAGATGGATCTGGAAAGTCAGCACCCTGGAGCTGGGATGACCTTCTTGTTGCTAATTATCACTCAAAGATTTCTCTCTCCAGCCACCCCACAGCCCAGGCAGAAGCCACCAATGAAAGTTCAGGGAACCTTCTGGGTGGGGAATCAATCTCTTAGGAAGCCAATGGGTGGATTTATGCCCACTGCTGATTTTGCTGAACGCTCCATCAAGAGGGGTACCAAATGAAGGTTACACACTCTTTCAACAGTAGGAAAGGTGCCTGGTTAGAAAAGTTCCTGGTAATAGGCAAAAAAAGTTAAATAAACCAGCTGAATTCACACATCATGCTAATGGGGTTGGTTGTTTTGTAGCTTGGTGTGCTGTGACATCCTAGCCATTGTGGCTTGCAAACCATGGTTTATAGACGTATGAATCCAGTGTATTCAACAAGCCATAGTTAAGTAAACATGACAACACAATGCGGACACCTAACTATTATCAGAGTCTAAGAAACGGTCTCTAATATATTGTCCAGTCTAACTTTTTCATACAGTAAGAGAATTAGGGTTAATTAAAAAAAAATGAAAAGGACTTACCTTCTAGTAAATCTGATGCTGATCCTAAACAATATTCCATAACAAGCTGCAGCAGACAGAAAGGAAACCAATTGTTAAGAGGGTACTACAAGCAGTGAATGAAGAAAGTGAGCCTTTGCTACCAGTTTTCTCAGCACCAACTTTCTCCCACCTTCACCAACTTCTTCTAGATACAAATGCTGTTTCTCTACAACCAAGAATCTCAAATGCCAGATAAAGCCTTATAAAATCTTGAGGAAGAGCGTTAGTGGCAACTGATGATTTGTGAGGTCCAGGCCTCACCCTTTTGACAGACTGTGAAATAACGACAGATATTTAAAATATTGACAGATGTATTTGTTTTGAATTTCTAAACTTGCTCCCCAGAGTTTAAATGTGCGTTATCCTTAATTTGGTATATGAAGTTGGCTCCTACCATGTGGAGAGATCTCGTTCATCCTGACTGGGCAAGATCCTTTTTAACAGAAATGGTGAGCTACAGCTGGACCTGCTTGCCCCAAGAAGCATTGCCTGCTCCCTGTTATCTTGCTTGCTGGAAGGAGCACTCAGCTAGAGTGGGATTATGAGTACTAGCGTCCTTGCAGACAAATTCTACATCTGTTGGGATTTCACAACCACAGATGTGTGCTGTCCAACAGAACCGCTGGCCCAGACCTGCAATCTGGATTTTCTGCCAATGGTTCCTGTCTGTTACAAGAAAACAAGGACATTTCTGTACTAGTTAGGATTTAAAAATCAAGAGAAATCAATAATCCTTGTACAGGTAGTCCTCGGGTTATGACCACTCATTCAGCAACCATTCAAAGTTATGACGGCACTAAATGAGTGGTACTTACAACTGGTCCTCGAAGTTCTGGCTGTCGCACAGCACCCCTGCGGTCACATGATTGCAATTTGGGCGCTTGGCAACCAGCTCACACTTATGGCAGTTGCAGTGTGTCGTGGCCATGTGATTGCCATTTGCGACCTTCCCTGCTGGCTTCCCACAAGCAAAGTCAATGGGGAAGCCGGCAGGGAAGGTCACAAGTACCTTCCATAAGTTGCTCCTGCCACTTTTTCTCCCAAGGAGCCCCGCTATGGAGTATGAAATCCAGGCATCTTGTACTCCATAGCACCCCCCCGCTGGCCAGCACTCTGTAGTGTGCGTGTGCCTGAAGCCCCTGCTGGCCTGCCCATGCTCCACAGCACCCACCCGCAGCAGACACCCCCCGCTCTCCTTGCCTGGGACTCCTGCCTCTTCCCGCATAACAACCCATACAGATCTGGGGTTACACGGCAACTGGGACTGCCATCACTAAGGAATGTCATGCTTTACGGCTGCATCACTTAGCGACAGAAATTCCCAATCCAATTGCCATCATAACCCAAGGGCTACCTGTATTAGGACAGATCAAATGTCCAAAGCCTTTGGTTTAAGAGGGCAAGGGACAGTCCGAAAGTTCTGCAGCCTTACTGTGAGGCTCTCTGATTTAATCCATAGTCCAGAAGGTTCATTCAGGGCCAGCCCAATTGCACATCTCACCCATTTCTGTGAAATGGACTCCTTACCAAGCCAAATCAAGGACTGCAGCCACAACAGGGTGAAGGTATATCATCAGTTTCTTGGGGCACCTCAGAGAGCAATGTTTTTCAAACTAGCCAACTTTAAGCTCTGTGGACTTCAACTGTGGAATTCTGGGAGTTGAAGTCCACACAGCTTAAAGTTGCTGAGGTTGAGAAACACTGATGCAGAGCAAGCCCTAGGCTGCCACACAGTGGCTAGGAGGATCCCCTAACACCTTGCTTTCTTTTTACTTAAAAATATAGTAGTAAACCCTGGCCAAAAATGGACTCATCTTAAACAAACCAGGCAGCCTCTCTACTCTATGTTACGTATTTCTCTTCTCTGCCTTAAGTGTCAATTTCCTGGTGAGAGATTTCATCTTCAGCAGATGTTCTGCATATCACATGAAGAATGGGAACAAAGTCTGAGGACATTTCTAGGAAAGAACGTACAATTAAGTCTTTAATGTGAAGGCCTGAGCTAATGACACTGGATTAAAACAGGTGGCTTCACAATCCAGCAGTTTCTGCTAACCCATTTACAGGTTTTCTAGAAAAACGTTATTTCAAGACAGCAACTGGGAAAACGGAGGCACTGGCACGATGCCACACCCCACAGAGAGCCGGCACATACTCACCCATGCTGTATGGTCCCGCAGGTAGCAGCCTTTGTATTCTATACTGTTCGGATGCTTAATCCGTTGGAGGAACTTAACTTCTTTAATGATATCCTGCCATTTCTGTAAGTAGAGAAAAAGGATAAGCTTTATAAGGGGGAAAAACACTTTTAAAGATGGGGGGAAAGAAAGAGCAAGGTGATCAAATCAAGGAAACCGTACGTGTGGACGACTAAGGACCAATTAATTCTAATTCTCTGCCCAGAATTTTAGGGCTGTTACCAGAAATCAAATAATGAGCTGGTGTGTAGGAAGGAAGACCTCTTCTTCAGCTATGTATCTACAGGGTCATCTACTTCCAAATTTAAACTTGTACTTGGAAAATGTGTATTTCCCTCCATCACTTGCTTTTCAAAAATTCTAATGTCTCCATTTCATTTTAAAGTATATTTATTTCTAGTGAAACTGCCTCTTCTTCTAACTCTGCAATCCAAGTGCTCGATCCTTTGGTCGTTAACAGCCACTGTGTGTGGAGGCATTCTGAAGCCCTTCGCCCGTGGTCATCTGTTCAGACCCTTGGGAAGAGCAGTTCTTCTCTCCTGGCCTGTCTCTTGGGGGAGGGGAGAAAGAAGGGGTGCCTGAAAGAAACAATCCCCCTTCCCTACCCTACAGCAAGCCCCCAGGACAGCAACATGGAGCTTCACTAAGGAGACACACTGCCCCCACTTGGATGGATGATGGAAGGGAATCCAGGGAGGACCCCAAGCCTCCCTCTGCTCACTCACCCACTGCAAGAAGAAAGGAGAAGGCAGCGGCCGCACAGACCTGGAAGGAGACCCCCGGCTGCTGTCCCTCTAGTAGCCACCTCCCTCCCTTGCCATGAGGAAAGTTTTTCAAAACACACACCCATGCTGAGAACAAGGCACCTCTATTTTTGAAACAAGCCCTGTGTGCTCCATTCATAGGAAAAGAGTATTTATAGCTCGGTGGTAATTAAAACAGCAGAGGAGGAGCAGGTACCAATTAGACTTTCATCAGCATATGGTGAAGAAAAATACAGAAGGGGTCCAGGAGGAGAAAGACAGAGCAGCGCAC